AACCATCCACACCCCATCCATCCACCCATCTACCCATCCATCCATCCATCCACCCACCCATCCTTCCATCCTTCCATCCTCCCATCCATCCATCCATCCATCCATCCACCCACCCACCCTTCCATCATCCATCCATACCCCATCCTTCCATCCATCCACCCATCCTTCCATCATCCATCCATACCCCATCCACCCACCCATCCTTCCATCCATCCATCCATCCATCCATCCATCCATCCATCCATCCACTCATCCTTCCATAGATCCATCCATACCCCATCCACCCACCCATCCTTCCATCCTTCCATCTATCCATCCATCCATCCACCCACCCATCCTTCCATCATCCATCCATACCCTATCCATCCATCCACCCACCCATCCTTCCTTCCATCTTTTCCTTCATCTACTTACTCCTGTACTCTCACGAGCCCCTCTGGTGAGCTAGCCCTGTGTTGTTGGTGCTTGCACACAGAGAGGAGCCAGATCCTTCTGCTTCTAATTCTCAGTCTAGGGGGCAAGGGTGCTACCATTACTTCAGTCTGGGCTCCTAAGGCAGATGGAACCCCCGTGAATGGGATGGTTGGGTGGGTAGAGACCATTTTAGCAGGGGAATGGCAAATGCTGTATGTGGGGGGTCTTTAGGGCATCCCAACTATATGCTGTGGCTGACATGTGGGAGAAGCCGTGGTGAAGCAGTTGGGGGTGTTGATCTGGGGTGGAACAAGCTACTAGACCTTGCTTTAGGGAGTAGGAAATGGTTGACTCAGACAGGGCAGGCCCGGGCAAGGTTGGGGGCTGCTGGAAGGTGACTGTCCCTCTCTCTGTTCTGCCTGGAGGGTTCTGAATCCTTTCTGCCCAGCTTCTCTGACTCACTTGCTGTGGGTCAGGAGGCCTATCCTGTGTGGACATGGAGCAGAAAAGAGGCCCAGCCTCCTCTTTTCATTCCCCATTCTGGCCTGGCAGAAGGACTGATGCAATCATTTGCATTTCAAAACCTGTATCTCCCACATCTCCCTTAATAAGAGCCAATTACACCTCTGCCCCAAACTGCAGGTTGCCTGCCTGTCATTGGACTTTCATCCTGTTTGGGTGGGGAGGAACTGTTCCCTTAAATGTCGAATTTAGCATATGCAAATGAAGAGCTAATTGTCCTTAATGGAAAATGAACTCACCTGCTTGCTGTGAGCTCCAGACAAAGCAGACATTGACAAAATGGGCATGGGGCCAGCCTGGGGTCTGCTCTTGTATCTCCGCCTTCACTAGGGGCCCTGCTGGCCCCTCCATGGCTTTCCTTAGGTCTGGAAGATGGCAGGATGGGGAACTTAGCTAGCTGGAAAGTAACATATATGGTGACCCCTTCCAACATTTGATGATTGTGAACGCTGAGGTCTGGAGTCTGGGAGAAACGGATGCAAAGTCACATATGGAATGACACTTCTTAGGGGACATCAGTATGGGGTTTCGAGCATCCGTGCCTGGGAAATCAGGGTCTTAATGATCATCAGAGCAGGTGAATCTCCAACTAGACCAGAGGGAACATGCTAGGTCCTCAACAGGTAATAGTTCAGTCTGAGACATGGGCTTGCTTGGAAATCCAGAGGCTGAGGGACTAGGACTCAATAGCCTAGGGCTCTGGAGGCCACCCTAGACTAGCCTTTCCAACTATTCAGTGCGATCCCTCCACATGCTTGGCTATGCGACTTTCAAAGAACATGGGCAGACTGCACCCAGAGGCAGTGAGCACTCTGTCCCTGGTGGCGTGCAAGCATTCTAGAGGCCTGCTGAGGGTGTAGCTGACCAAACAGTGGGGGTTTCTGGGAGAGGAGAAACTTTGCTGGAGAATAAGCTCCAACTTGCCAGCCCTCATGCCCCCAGTGGATCACCAGAGAGAGCATTTTAGGAGTCTCAGGCCTGGGTCAGACATAGAGATTGGGTATGGCCTGCTCCAAGAATCAAGGCACCTGTCTTGGAGGGATTAAACCACCTCTTATGCCCAAGTCCCAACCTGGTTCCTTGCCTGGCCTTGGAGCCCTGTCCCTGGACAAGTCGGAGTGCTTATAGAGTTGGAGACCCTAGGGATAAATCCACACCCACCTGAATACGATCCCATTCTCTGGGAGCCAGAGCACCATACTGGTGGAATGGACATTGATGCATGTGCCTCCCGTGGGAGTATGTAGATGCTACCACCATTGGGTTCACAGGGAGGGACTTGGGAGAGATGTGCTTTTCAATCTCCTTTGGAGAGGTTGACTCTTGCAAGCCTCCTGCCTAGTTGCTGGTTCCCTTGGACAGTCAACATCGTCTAGCCATTCCACTGCTGGCTGACCCAGGGTTAACAAGCAGCTAGGGGGGAACCCCCACCATCTCTTCCCCAGGTGTCACGATGGGTCTCAAACAGGCCAAGGAAAGCACCCAAGGCCACACAGTGAGACCAGGCATCTTGTTGGCCTTCTTTAGCCTTAGTGACCCAAAAGGTTTTTTTGTTGTCATGGAGAAGCGTATCCCTGTGGGACATGGAGGTCTCAGCTGCTACACAATGGGACTACAGCTCTTGCTACTTAGGCGTTATTGGTCAGAGGAATGGGCGAGGATCAGAACATAGGGCTTGGTCTGAGCAGGTGATCTGATATGGTCCATGAACCAGACATGGACTTGTGCTTTGTTAAGCCGTTGAGATGGGGGAGGCTGTTGGCTGCTCCTGTAGCAAAACCTCCTCCATGCTGACTGATTCCAGGGGCCATGTATGGAGTAAGGCAGGGAAGCACAGGGACTAGCTTCACAATCTGAGACTTGATTTGGTAAACCAAGTATACACACCACCTTTCCTAATAATTCAGCAGCCTGCAACCCTTACAGGCACATACTGTGCACACACCCCTTTCTGCACAGTGCAGTGAGCCGCGCAGTATACCTACTTTAAGAAGTGGAAGTAAGTTACTCCCCTTTAGCAACCTCTTAATAATGCACTGTTTCTATTCAAACACACACATTGGAACAAATGTGGGACCTATGGCAATGGGCTCATCCAGCCTGGACTGGTTTTGGATGTCTGCAGAGTAAGGCAAACCGTCTTCTGAGTGAACTCTTAGGGAGAATCCCCTATTTACCATCTTATGCCTATGCGTAATTGGACAGGCATATGATTAAAATCAGATGCATTACAGGAAGGGACATGTGCTGTGAACATAGGTTTATGTAATTATGTAATCCTAGTTCAAGTCTGTCAATCAAAACAAAAGAACCACCAGTGTTCTGCCCCTTAGCAACCATACACCTCCTTTTATTGAACCCCATTAAATGAAGCCCCAGAATAATCACTGGGGCCCTTGAGTACATTCACTCAGTGGCCCACTGTCATTCTTGACAAATTTCTTTCTGATTTGCACTATTGCATTGCTTTTGAGTAAAATTCCCTTGCGACTTTTGCAATCTGTGTGAGCCTTTATTTTACTCAGTTCATTGAATAAGAAGCCAAGAACCTGGAAATGCTTGCCTGACCATGGTGCAGGGTGGGTTTCCAGTGATGAGTGGTGGAGTGGGTGTGTCTTAATTAAGGCTGCATATAAGGCCTGTTCATCAGCGATTCAGATGTCGCCAAGGGTTCGGCTCATTCCTTCTTGGATGAGTCTAGGCACGGTGGGTATGGGCCTCCACAGACGCCCCCACCTACCCATTCGCCCACCCACCCAAGTGCAACGATTTCTAAGATGTGATACAGTTAGACCCAGAGCTCTTTTCCAAGTTTGCAGAAACTGGCCAAAGGGGGCTGGGGAACCTCCATCTTCCTGACCACAATAGCTTTTTCCGGTGCCTTCTCCAGCAGGAGAGGGCAGGTGAAATGCAGAGGAGTCATTACTTCTGCATTATTCCTTCATATGGCTTGTATCCCACAGCCGGGCCAACCGGCTCTTGGGAGTGTCCTAGATGCTGGAAGGCAGGCCAGTGGCTGATGGACTTTGCGCTGGGTGGTCGTGGGGGCCGTGATTCCCTGAGAGACCTGGAGAGAGCTTCCTCCATGCTCCAGTCTCACCAGCTTGTCTTCAGGGCTGCTCAGAAGCTGATTCCCCAGGATTGATGAGCTTTTCTTTCCTGAGGGCCCTGCTCTGGGGTCGGAAGGGATGTGGCTTTGGCGGTGTGGGTAGTACAGGGTTTGGGGAGATTTGGAGCATGGGCTGCAGCTGTTAGCTTGGCAGAGCCTTGTTGCAGATGTGAGGATGCTGGGTGGGGGCCGAGGGGAGCCTAGGGTGTGGTGGGACCCAGCACGAACCCAGTGTCAGAAGGTCCCTGGGTGCTCTGGGAGAGGGCTGTCTACCCGAAGTCCTTGCTCAGATCCCCTGCTGGATGGAGGTCAAGCTGCCTGCAGCTGTCTCCAGAGGCTGGTCAAGTTTCTTCCTGCCCCTGGTCTCTTGGATGCTGACTCCCCAGACCTCTTATACTCAAGCCAGTGTGGTTTTGGTTTTGGAGTTGAAGCAATACTGGGCTCTGGCCCAGGCTCCGATTATCCTGTGCAGTGGAATTTGGAGCTGGGAGAGGCCAGGCTTGGAAGTGTTTCTTAGCTAATGGAAAGATGGAACTGTGGACTCCTCCCTGCTTGGCTCCTCTCTAGGGATGGGGCAGGGCCTCCTCTTCCTCGAGTGCGGCCTTGGGTTCCAGGATGTAAGCTCAGGGCTCTAGGTGGGGGTCCTTTCTCCACTTCGGGTGAGGTGGTTTTGGTCCTTTGCCCAGAGGGGCCTCCCAGATCTTTATTGACCTGCAACAAAATGTTGTGAGGGCCACAAGTGGGGGAGGCTCCTGGAGTTCTTGGTGGAGGGCAAAGAGATTTGGGAGCAGAGAGGACATGTGTGTCACTCAGGGTTGAGTAGTTTTGTGTTTATTGAATGAGTAATCTGCTCATTTATTTTTCTCCCATCCCTCCGTTAATTTATTCATTTTCCAATCAAGCCGTCCGTCCATCTGTCCATCCATCTCATTATATAGTCACTCTCCACTTTATCCAAGCATCCATCTAAGTGTCCATCCATCTATGCATCTATCCATCTGTCCATCCATCCATCATCAACCCAGTGAGTACATGCTCTAGGCCCAGAACCCTGTGCCAGTTGCTAGGATACAGACACCAAAACAGTTCACCAGGCCTGCCCGAGAAAGTGTTGCAGGTCTGGTGACCTGATACTTGAGCAAACACCCATGCCTCCTCAGCCATATCACGTTGTGGTGAATGTGAAAGTTGTTTCATGAATCCAAAGGATTAGCTGACTCCAACCCAAGGGGCCCCTCCTCCAAGTCACCGTCTCCCATTTCGCCGCGTGCAATGGGGGATTTGACAGGGGAGGAGAAGGTGAAGGCCACTTCTGGTGGATGGACCAGGCTTGCTAGGGCAGGTCTTTGTAAGCACACTGCATGTTTGGCGGAATGCGGTGCTGCAGTTGCGAGGCTACGAAGATACAGGATCGGAGAGCTAGCTGAAGAAACACGTTAGGAGATGGAGGAGGGCGTTGAATGCCAGGTGAGGCTCTTCTGCTTTACACCATGCTGAACTGGAGGAGGAGGGGGGAAGCATGAAGGAGCACCGTCAGATGCGTGCTTTCAGAAGATCACTGAGGCAAGCCCATCGGGCCCTGGCGTCCTAACTCCTGGTGTCCTAACTCTTCTTTGGTGGCCTTGGGCAAATGAATGAACTTTCTCTCTGCCCATCTCCTCTTCATGATGCTTTATGCATTGCTGGGTTGCTGTGAGCTATGCTACCAGATCCCACCTGGTACACGGATCTTGCCACCCCATTGTAGATGCTTGACACTCACCCTCTTCTGGGAGCTGCTGGGGCCCAGCTAGAATGGGAACCTGGGGTTTATACTGCTTACTCTGGCTTGTGGTGTGTGTGTGTGTGTGTGTGTGTGTGTGTGTGTGTGTGTGTGTAGTGTTAGGGGGAGAAGAGTAGGAGGGAGAGGGAGAGGGAGAGGGAGAGGGAGAGAGAGAGAGAGAGAGAGAGAGAGAGAGAGAGAGAGAGAGAGAGAGAGAGAGAGACATTTCCAAAAGCTTTGTTTTACTTCTCCACAAAGCGTCCTCAGATTGCCATGGGCTGAGGGATGACAGGCCGACTCAGCAGGCTGCCTGGGTTGCAGATTGGATGGTGATACCAGACTCAGACAGCTAGCGATGCCCTGGCTTGGGAAAGGACTTGGGGACCGCACTGTGACCCCAGGTGCCCTGGCACCAGGCCACTCGAAACTCTTTCCGCCCATGAGTGGCTCTCTCCTCCCCGACCTGTCTTGCCCTACACGGCTGTTCCAAGGAGATGGCTTCCCTGGCTCTGGGACTGTATCTGCTAATCCCAGGGAGCAGCCTGCCGGGGCGAGACCTGACACGTCTTGACGCTCAGCAGTACAACTTACCCAATGCTCTGGCTCTATGCCCTCCCTACCAGAATCAGGGCTGGGGCTGTGGTTCACTCCCCTGCCTGGCACTCCTTGCTGACCTTGGATCCCAACAGGCCATGGAAGAATTCAGAAAGGGATATGTGTGAGAGAAACCATATGTCCCTAATGGTGGCTCAAATCCCTTGCCCTTTGTGGGTATCCAGGAATGTTGAACCAGAGCTCTTAACATCCAAGACCTTCTCACACTTGTCCCCGAGCCTCAGTTGGCTCATCTGGAAGGTGGGGGTGACAGTGCAGACCACCCAGATATTAGTTAGATGGGGATCCAGAGAAGACGGAAAAGGGAGTGCCTCTGCAGAGTGTAACTCGCATGTGGGTCTGTGATGTTGACCGAGAGGCTTCTCCTTGTGCTGTGTGGACTGTCTCCTTTGAATCTATGACTTCCTCCTCCCTTCTCAGCTCTGGACACAGGATCCAGCAGCCTCTGTGGCTACCCAGATCCTCCCTGGACTCACCTCATTGGGAGAAAGAAGTAGGTAAGGACCTCGCGTGAAGAAGCAGGCAGCCTGCTGGAGCTGGCACAGAGGGGTGGGTCACCCAACAGTGGAGCCATCAGAAAGGACGGAAACACTTGGCTGTGTGGTGCTGAGAATGTTGGTGTCCCGGGCTTGTGTTAGCCGGAGCTCCCCCAACTCAGGGGCTACAGATTCCAGTCTTTCCAAGGGTATTTGATGACAGAGGGAAAAAAAATGATCAGCTTCCCAAAATGACTGCAAATCAAAGTTAATTGATGTTTAATTGAATATGTGCATAATGTAATGTCATGTCAACTTGTTAAATGGAGCTCACCCCAGCTCCTATGAAGTTATATGTAAATGATATTTGAAACGGGAACGTGGATGCATTTTGATGTGTTTATTGTGATGTGGTGTGGCATGCTAGCGTGGGAGGGAAGGAGGCCGTGAAGATTTCTAAGTAGATCTGTTGGAATGGCATGGGGGGGTAGTGAAGCCCATTAATAACTGAGCTGCAACCTTCTGCTTGCCCTCCCAGTGTCTGCTGGAGGCCTCCTTGGGGGGAACTGAGCATTTTTGGCACCCACAGATATGCTAACGTCCAGAGAGAGCACTGAGTTAGTATTCTAGAATCTTCTAGGGCAATCCGGTAAATCTTTGCAGTAGTTTGGTATGCTCTGTGTGTCCTGTTCTCTAGGATCGGGATCTTGGTAAGATGAGGCAGGCTAGCTGGAGAAGAGGAAGCAGCTCCCCCACCCCACCCCCTCTTTATTCCTTCTTCCCTTCTCTTCCTTCTCTGGTTCTAGGTGTCTGGTGAGTGAGGGCCTTCTGGCTGCATCGTAACACAATAAAGGGTAATGTGGTCGGACAGAGCAAACTCGGCAGCTTGGATCTCTTTTCTTCCTATTACAAAGCCACTAATGTCATCATGGAAGCCCTGGCTTTTGCCTTCATCTAATTTTGATTACCACACAAAGAACTTACTTCCAAATATCATGAACATATGAACTTAGGAATTAACGTTTTCAATGCATGAAATTTTGGGGGAGACACAATTAGATCAAAGCACCAGGGAGGCCACTGAGATTTGGGGGGAATATTTGTTATGCAGCACAGCCTACAGTGCTGATTGTTACAGGAGGCTGAGGCTTTTTCTAAAGGGACAGTATAGGTGTTCCTAGAACTAGAAATTGGGGGTCAGGGACTTGCAGGTTGCTTCCCACAGACACTAGAGCTACACGAACTGCTGCTCCTAGCCCCTAAACTCTTTGCCCTGAGTCTGAGAGCTTCATGTTAAGGCTGGAGCTCTAGAAGTTTCATGGAGTCTACTGGATACCTCTGAGAACCTTGGGCATGAGAGGATAATGCTACAGGGCTGGGATCAAGCTTGGAGTCACAGCTTGGAGAAACTTGGGGGGTGAGTTTCTGAATGCGTCTGTTGTTCTTAGAGACATCTGAGACCCCACAGTCTATTGCTCCCAGCACTGACTTCATAGAAGGCCAGAAGTTACTGCCGTAGGTTGCATTTTTCCAAATTAAGAACAGAATTAAGGAAGTAGGAACAGACAAGCAGTCCCAATTTCTGAGACAGGTCCCTGACATAGCTTCAGAACCCAACTCAACCCCTCGTGGGAGTAGACGGCACTGTTGGTATGAAGAGTGACAGCCCCTGGCAGAAGGCTGTGCTCTGGATACTGGGGGCAGCTGCTAGTGTGACAGGGGAGGCCAAGGGACTATGGACTGACATCTCTGAAACCATAAGCCCAAAATAAGCTCTCCTTTTTTATAGCATCAATCATCCATCCGTCCGTCCGTCCATCCATCCATCCATCCATCCATCCATCCATCCATCCATCCATCCATAAACCTCTTACTATGTCTAATTCGTAAGTGAAATTTTTATTATGGCTTGCGTGTCAAAAGAAACAGAGAATGGCTTTAGACCTAGAGGGTCTTAGGACATGCTCTTGTGATAAGGAGAGACTGACTCCATGCTTTTCCTGGTTACCTGTACGTATGTACGTGTGTGAACACCATGGAAATTCCACCTGCCGGATCTGGGCGGTGGGGGCACTAAATGAAAGAAATTGCACGCTGACGGGCTAGCAAGGGTCTTGGCCCACGGTAGCCTTTGGTGCGTGTGTTCTGGACCCTAAATTTTCTACTGAAATTACTCTTGTCTTTGCTGTACACTTTCTAAATTGGTTTATGCTTTAGCTACCTCTGGTGCCACCTAGGTTAGGGCTTTATGATAACGGTAGAATTCACAGGCAGCAGGAGTTCAGAGTTCTCTGGTCCAGCCTGGGCCCCCTAGATCCTTTGCTCTGTGATGTTGCCTTGTCCTGTTCTAAGCAGTCGGCAGGATCTGCCATGCCTTCTCTCTTGCTGCCAGCTGATGAGGCCAAAACTGGTCAACAGTGCTCGAGCTGAAGTGAGTCTTGGCCCCTTGCAACCTCAGTGGCCTCAGAGGCTTTCCAGGAGCTGAACTGTGCGCTCTGCCCCTCTCTGCTAGTGCTTTAGTTCAAGCATGCCAGCCCCCCCCCGCTACTGGATGTGCACAGCTGCACCAACTAGCCCTGGCCTTACAAAGTGCCAGCTGTCTACGTCCTCTGTTCTCTCCTGCTGCTGGGCAGGCAGCTTGGCACCTCTTTAGCTTGGAGAGCAGAGGCCGTCTACAGCCGAGCTTGGTCCGGAAGGTGTGATCTGTCATCTTGGGCCAGGTTCACGAGAGACAGAAGCTAGAACACGGATTCCTGAACAAGTGGGGTCTGGAGGGTGTTCTCTCCAGGGTACCCAAGCAAGGCAGCTGGAGAGCAGGCTAAGGGAGCTGGAGGAGCTAAAGGAGATTACAAAGCATGACCTTTGCCTCCCCACATAGGTTACTTGGGAGTATGAACTGTACTAGAGATTTGTTGTAGTTTGAAGTAACCCTGGCATGATAGTCATGGATGGGGCGGGCAGCAGGCGGGGGGGGGGCTTGGAGGTGTGGCAAATTCTCGGGCATCTCCAGATAAAGACAGTTTGCCTCAGCAGGGTTAGAGGCAGCACATGCCATGCAGCCTACCCTGTCGCTAGCATCTGGGAGATGTTTCATAGACGGTCCAGGGAATCCAAAGGGTGCCAATCACATCAGTCACGCCCTCCACGGTCAATGTTATTGTTTCTTTCCAAGAGTAATCTTGTGTTTTCCTGGATTCATTTCTACTTGGCTTATTAAGCCAGGGTTACACAGGACTACTGTATGCCAGGCCTTGGAGGGTCTAGGCAAACTGAACTGCATCCAAATGGCAGGCTGACCCCGTAGGGTCAGCTGTTGCTTTCGGTGAGGGCCCCACACGCACCCACATCTCAGATCCAGGCATTGCCTTCTCCTTCCAAGTTCACCAGAACTGTGAGCTGACCGTCTGTCTGCCCCCAAAGCAAAGGCGGGACAGCTTGTGAGTGGGCCTTTTCTTTTGCAAGAGGAATTAGAAACTGGTTTCAGATGGGTGGGGTGAGGTGGAGGTAAACTTGAGTTAGGCAGGAGTCAGAGTGGAGAAGCTGTTCTTTCTTCTTCTTCTCCCTCCCTCCCTCCCTGCTGGGCTGGGCTCAGGCTGCAGCTCTGGCCTTGTAGCTACTGCTGGGGAAAACAGAAAACCACAGCTATGAGGCCCCAAACAGGCCTGCATCATGTTTACCAAGTGACAGAATCCTGGGCCGGTCTCCAAAGAGGCTGGGGCTCCTGCAGCAACTCAGACCGTTCATCCACGTCCAAGGCTGTGCTTCACGGGCCATGAGGGCTGGAAAACCTGTTGGCGGTCACCGCATCCAAGTGGTTCATTTCATCAAGAGGCCCCATAGATGTGAGTGAGTTGGCCGTGGTCACACAGGGCACTGGGACCTTGTTTAGGACACATGGGAGGGAGGGAAGGAGACTGAGGTTGAGGTTTGTGGGTAAGGGGAAGAGGAAGAGAGGCTCCTGTGGAAGCTAGGTTCTTCCTCACCCATGGCTGTCCTCTCTTCTTGCCTCCCTCCCCTGACCCCAGGCCTAATCAGCTGCTGTTTTTGAAGCTGAGGTCGCTGGCCCAGGGTGAACGAAGAAAGTAAGGCTATGACTGTGCTTGGCTTCTCAGCAGGGTCTGGGGAAGCTCCACCTTCTCAGCCCCATGCCATCAGTGTCTGGTGCCAACCTTTCCCATCTCTAGGCTTGGGTGGGTGGGTGTGGGGGGCGGGACCAACTCCCTGTGCAGTCCTACCCTTCACAGACAGCACCCCCCTCTAACTCCACCCCTGCACTCTGCACACAGATGGCTCAGGAAGGTTCTCACATCCTCAAGAACTTTGCACCTAGCCACTTTGGCTAATCCTGTTCCACTCCGTTCCAAATGGCTTTGGGATCACGGGGAATGGGCGAACCTTTGCCCTACTCCATTTGATTCTTGTTCTACACGCGACGTGTGCTCCTTCCCCGAGCCCCTCCCTGACCCTGCTATTTCTTCCATTTCCTTTCCTAGGTCATGATCTGATGGCTCCTTGGGTTGGGTCCACGCCTTCACCTCCGTCTCCCATTCAAAAATGGGGTTCCCCGCCCCTGGTTCCCAGTCTTGCTGCCCTCCCCACCCCTCGCTTGAAATGAGTGCAGAATTAGAAGCTTCATTCATTCCTGTGACTACCTTGGTCTCTGTCACTGGAGGATGAGCATCACACTCACGGCTCGCACCTGTCACAGGCTGGAGACCTCTGAAGTTAGTGTCCATGATAAATCCTCCTCTTGTATTGTTTCTTGCAGGTTTTTGCCTCAGCAAGGAAACTGAGACTGACTGTCTACCAGTCTCCTCTCTTATTCGAAGTGCCACTTGGTCGCCAAAGTCAGAAATCTAAGTTTTGTCAGGGAGATGGCTCAGCAGGTAAGGTCACCTGCCACTAAGTCTGAGTACCTACCCGAGCTGTTCAATCCCAGGACTTAACATGGTGGAGAGAGAGAACTCACTCTCATACGATGTCCTCTGATATTCATACATGCACCGTGGCACATGTGCATACACATTTATACACATAAAAATACATAAATGTAATGAAAGGTAAAAAGAAAGAAAGGAAGAAGGGAAGGAGGAAGGAAGGGAAGAAGGAAGGAAGGAAGGAAGGAAGGAAGGAAGGAGGAAGGAAGGAAGGGAATCTGAGTTTCTTCTTGAGGTAGGCTGGTCAATTTTCCATTCCCCCCAAGACGTTGTCCTCTGAATCCCAGGACCCATGAATGCACCCTACATGACAAAAGGGAGTTGCTGATGTGATAAAATTTAGGATGTTGAGATGGGGATTATTTGGATGAGCCTGTACATCACAAGGGTCCTTAAAAGAGGGAGGCAGGAGGGTCAGAGTCAACAGTAGGAAGTGCGATAATAGAAGCCAGAGGCTTGAGTGATCTGGCCTCAAGTCAAGAAATTTGTGATGGGCGGGGCATTGGTGGTGCACGCCTTTAATCCCAGCACTCAGGAGGCAGAGGCAGGAGGATCTCTGTGAGTTCGAGGCCAGCCTGGTTTATAGAGTGAGTGAGTCCCAGGACAGCCTCCAAAGCAATACAGAGAAACCCTGTCTCAAAACAAACAAACAAACAAATCCAAAAAACAAAAACAAAAAAACAACCCCCAACAACAACAACAAAGAAGTTGCGAGGGCCACCAAAAGCTGGAACAAAGCTCCCCCCTAGACCATCCAAAGGAAACCCACCCCTTTTGGGCTGTTGAATTGACACCCCCCCCCCCCCAGGAACTAGAAGAGAATACGTTTGTGTGTTTCAAGTCGCTACACTGTGTCAGTCTTATACAGGAAGTGAATACAGTGCTGATGCTGCTGAATTGGATACCTGCTATATTGACTTGAACCAGCCCTATCAAATGCCCCTCAGGTTACTTCTCCTGGGATCAAGCCCATGCTGCAACACCATTCTACAATGCTTGCAGTGATATTTTGGCAAATCACCCTACAGCTTCCACTGCTTCAAGACTTAGCTTTGGGAAAGAGTCCTTCCTGTGCAGCCTTGTCTTGCAGGCTGAAGCAGGGAGCTGAAGCCTCTAGGCTATGAGGAGCCATGGCTGTGCTACAGGGTTACATGCTAGCCTCTCTCTCCAGCTTGGATCCCCATCTCCAGCCCTACCACTACTCAGCCAGCCCTGTGGTTCCACAGCAGCTGACGGTTTTTTGTTTATGTTGTTATCTCGCCCTTAAATATTCCGCCTTGTCTCTTATCGCAGTCTCTAAGGATCAGAGCCTCCTCTGGGCCTCGCTTCTTTATCTGTGTCATCAAGGGTCGCCTTCAGATGAGTTTGGAGCTGTTTGGGTCTCTTAACCTGGACAACTGGACAGAGCACAGCTCACTGACCTCCAGTGTCCCCAAAAGATACCTTGCCAGGTCTTTCCACTGCTTTCAGTCTCAGAGCTGGATGGCCCCACACGGGCCATTTCCCACTGACGTCCTCGCTGTGGCTGGGCGTGCATACGTGTGTCGCATATATGGGCATGTGCTTGCGTGTTTTAGGAGGAACAACAGAATTTTAAATAGTTTATTAAAGAGCTGCTCAAGGCGCCTTGGATATGAAATTTCTCCAGGAAAAAAAAAAAAAGAAAAAATCCCTCTATTTTGATGATTTAAGTGTTAATGACTCAAAACCATATGGATCACATTTCCCTCCCATCCACACAGTTTTAAAAAGTATCAGAGAGACTGCTCAGGGCAAAATGCATTTATGATTCCATCGATCCTGCAGCATTGTGGAGGGCTGTACTCCAGATTTCATGGGAGCAAGGCCCACTGAGCCAGGATGTGGGTCCTCCCCTCCCCTCCAGGCCTCTCCACATGGTCTCTGGGAAAAGCCACCCTGGACTTCTTGGGAGAGTATTCAATATATAACTAGATGGGGGGAAATGAAGCATCCCAGTGGTGAGTGAGTGAGTGAGTGTGTGTGTGTGTGTGTGTGTGTGTGTGTGTGTGTGTATGTGTGTGTGTGTGTGTGTGTTTCAAAACCTCCAGAACTAATTTTAAAATGACTTAGGTTTTGGCAGACCGAAGAGGTGTTAACTCAAACCCGGGTGGATTTCAAGGGAAATGTAATTAGAAAAACCCTTTCCTAGTTAGCCGAGAGACGGCACTGAGCAGTAATGATACTCGTGGAGGACTGTTTGGTGAGATGAGAACGTGCAGCCATCAGGGCCAGTGTGCAGACAGGCACACGGGCCCCACCCCAGCCAGGCCCTGGGTCCACACCCAGCACTGGGGCCATAAAATCCAACATGGAGCGGGTGCACTCAAGGACCAGGCCACAGCTAAATAATTTGTGGTTGGTTGTTCCAGTAAGCTAAGTGGGGTGAAGTGAGGGTCGCTGGTGAATGGAGAGCACACATTTTGATCCATTCTATTCCTGGGCCTAATCCTTTTTCAGGCTAGTGAGATGACTCTGACAACTGGCCAGATTTGTGCATCTGTGTCCTGGGAGCAAAGTGTAGACTCCCAGTGAAGTAGCAATGCAGACCCTTCACGGCAGGCTACAGGTCTGTTTGCAGATGTTATCTCCCCACCATCTGTTTCTCCTGCTGGCAGCTCCTCCTAGAATTCTTCCCTGTCTAGCTTCCACATCCTTCTGCCCTGCACACTACATTCTCTTTTCACCCCAGGGTCTCCATGGGAATTTTTCTCTCCATTCTCTGTGACCCTTGAGCGAAATGGACGCACATCTGCGCCCAGTGCACTGCGCCTTGCCTCTTCACCAGGACCTGCACCCTGTCATCAGCCTTGACCTCCTAGGGCAGGAGGAAAGACGTCTGTCATAACTCTGCATGGACCACGGTGAGACTGAGCTTAATAAGGCTTGGTGCCCAACAAATGCCAAGTAGACCGATGGAATCCTGTGAAAATACCTAGCACTACTTCATCCACTCGTTTATTTACTCATTTATCCATCCAGCCGCCTGCCTACTCATCCATCTCCAACCTAAACATCTGTCTTTCCATCCATCCACCCATCATCTATGTATCTTGCCCGTCCGTCCGTCCGTCCGACCATCCATCCATCCATCCATCCATCCATCCATCCATCCATCCATCCATCCCTTCATCCATTACTCATCATCCTTCCAACCATTCACCTCCCATGTGTACACCTATCCTTCTGCCTGCCTTGCATCTCACTTGCCCATTCACTCATCAGACACAACAGATGTGCTACCTTTACTGCAATCCTGTTGTATCTCATATCAAAAGATCTTGGAATATTTTAAACACGTAGAGTCTATTGACATATTGCAACAAACAGCTATGGGCCACCCAGTGATCTATATGTTTTATTAATATTATGCCATCTGTACTTGAATTTCTTTTAAACAGCTTTATGGCCCCATGTGTAGGCTCTGTAGCTTCAACTCTCTGTCTTACTCTTGGGAAATGATATCTGTCATTCTCATACATGTCTTCATGTTTTTAAGTCCTGTGTTTTTTTGTGTTTACAAGCAACATAAGACTATTTTTTTGGGGTTTTAAACTTTTATGTAACTGCTGTCCTGCTGCATCTGTCACTTCATAATGTGGCTTGTTTTTCTTCATTCTTATGATTCCATTGTATTTTTCCCTATCTGTTGTGCTGGCTGGTTTTATGTCAACTTGACAAAAGCTAGAGTCATCAGAGAGAAGGGACCCACGTAAGGTCAGGCTGCAGACAAGCCTGTAGGGCATTTTCTCAATTAGTGATTGATGAGGGAGGGTCCAGACCATTGTGGGTGGTACCATCTCTGGAGTGGTAGTCCTGTGTTCTATAAGAAAGCAGGCCGAGCAAGCTAGTAAGCAGCACTCATCTATGGCCTCTGCTTTCGTTCCTGCCTCCAGGTTCCTCCCCAGTTTGAGTTCCTATCCTAACATCCTTCATTGATGACACAGTGATATGGAAGTGTAAGCCAAATAAAGCTTTCCCTCCCCCAAGTTGCTTTGATAGTGGTGTTCCATCACAGCAATAGAAACCCTGAGACACGTATTTTCATAAAAGGACAATCGTGTGTCATGTGATCCTTTGTCTCTTCATTTGGGTCACCAGTTCCTGGATGTCAGAATGCTCACCTGTGTATAACTTTCTGCCATGCCTGGCAGGATCTTTGAGAGTTGGCTGCATGGATAATGGGTAAAGTTTTGCGATGCCTGCAATGTCCCAACCTCAGGGCTCTGGTGGGCGTCTGGGAGTGATAGAGAACTCTATCGTAGCTGTTAAAGAGTAGCATATTAACAGGCAGATGAGGAGTCAGTCTAGTGTTGTGGGTGCTGATCTGCATACACACATAGACAAGGTGGAGGAAATTGGTCAGGGAAGAGGAAAGGGGAGCAGGTCATTCTTGGTAGAAGAAACAGCACAGTGGAGGCTGGTGGGGGAGAGACATTTGTGCCTGCTGCCTTGCTCAGGAGGGGCCCTCAGAAAGACTTTTTTTTCACCCAAGGCATCCTGTCTCCTTTAGCACCTAATCCTTCATACCCAATGCAGGCTTTTGAAACTTGTTGCATTCAGCCATGCCTTCTTCCTTCATAAAGCCAGAGAATATTTCCCGGACACCTAATATGTGCTGGACTCTGCCACCAGGAGATAATTCTTGTTGTCAGGATGAAGGGACGTGAGAAAGAATGTCAGATGGTGAACAGTCTCTCAGAAGGCTATGTAGGGAGTCTGATGGGTTTGAGTCATAGGTAAGGTGTCTCCAGGCAGAGGTATTAATTAGCTTTCTATTGCTGTAACAAAACGCCAGAGGCAGAGTAACAAAGAGATTTATTTAGCTTAGTTTCAGAGGCTGGAAGTCTGAATGGCATGGTGATGTCCCTGGTAAGGACCCTCACCACATCACATTGGGACAGATGACATCATGGTTGGGAATGGGATCTGTGATGTGACAAAACAGGAGGCCAGATATTTTAGTGGGACTGGTTATTTAAAGATAACTGACCCTTATAGGAGTTAAGCGAGGTCCCACAAGAGGTACCTTAACACCACCTAAACGCAGTGTTCCAGTGGCCTAACCACCTTCTGCTAGACCCCACCTATACAAGGCCTACCACCCCTCATACCAGCACATAGAGGCCAACGTTTTCACACATAAAGCTTTGGAGACAAACCATACTGGAATCATTGCAGGAGGGGACCCCAGGCCTTGAGATCTGAATCTAAGGTCAGGGAAGAATGAACAGAAGTGATGGGACTTGGCTTATTCAAGGCTGTTTTTGCTCAGGGCAGAGGGACAGTGGTGGCCCAGGGCCAGCAGTCAGATTGCATATGGCTTTGTGAGGCAGGAAAGGGGCTCAAGTTTTATTCCAACCAGATGAGGAGACTTCAGAGGGTTTTAAACAGACAACTGATGGGATCCAATTACCTTCCAAATTAATTGAAAGTAGGGGATTGTGAGTTGAGGTTGGAGAGAAGCCAGGTTGGGGTGGGGTGGGGGGCTCTGTACAGTTCAACTCCAGGTGGCTACAGTTTGGCTCTGGTTGTGAGCAGCAGGGATGGAGTGAGGTGGCCTGGGATATGTCTCTAAGGTGGAGTCGACAAGGTCTGTTGGAAGAAATGATGGAGGAGGTCAGGGGGGGTGAGAGAGTAGTGACGAGGAGGATTGTGGAGTGGAGACTGGGCAGGTAGGGAGCGGTGCTTCTTACCAAGAGCCAGATTTAGGATCAGGTGGCAAGGGTGAGTTTGACACTGGCACCACTGATTTTGAATAGACTCTGAGAGAGCCAAGTGCAGTGACCTATCTGGTGAATCCTGCAGAGATGCAAGGGGACGTCATGACAGTACCACTCTGGCACCTGTCCCAGGAGTCATGGCCATCTGTCTGGTAGCCTGCTCACTGCATATCTCCTGAGGGCTAGGGGGAGCAAAGTTTAACATGCCCATTTTGCTGATGGGAAGACAGAGACCCAGCAGGACAGTGACTGGCCGAGACCACTCAGGCAGAGCCTGGAGCCCACCTTGCCTCAGCCTGGTTTCTCTTCTCTCCCTGCACTGCTGGGCAGACGGGAGCGGGGCCAATGCCAGCTTTCTCTGGGTCTGTTTCTTCCTTTATAGATGCCTTTTTTCTATTTTCACGATGTAGCCAAGACCAGCGCCGCCTGAAGACGTCACAGTCAGAGCTCAAGGCTTTCCCTACATGTGCTCCGTGGTGTCATGTCACCCTGGTGACCAGTGCCAGACAGGGGCCGACGTCACTCATAGTGAACATGACATGTTTCTACCCTCCGCTTTACCGAGGAAGGGCACCGAAGGGTCCAAGCCACTGAGCATGGGAAAAGCTGAGCTCACCTTCCTGGGTACTCACCGTGCTTGGGGCTAAGTACTGCAAACCACCGGAGGCCTGGAAAGTAAACCGTGGAAGCGGAGGCCCCTCACTTTACAAAGAGGAAGTGAGGTACAGGATGTGCAGAGTGAGGACCAAAACTGAACTCAGGCCAGCAGGTTGAATACTTAGCATTTTATACACCAGGGACTATGCTTAGTGACTTCCTTCCATGGCGGTTGTGTTCAGTCAACAAACAGAAGGTTCATCTGCTTATTCAGAGAGAGGGAAACAGAGGTGAGCAGCTTCTGGCAGAAGCACTAGAGACACCAAAGACCCATGGAGCTGAAGCTCTATTAGGAGGTTCTGGGGCCAAAGTTCCCTAGGACCAGGCTTTTTGTCAGTTGTTTGTGACAAGTCCTTGACAACACAGACAACAGTGCTCAGGTGGGCGTGGGGGGGACAGACAGGAAAGGCAGACAAAGGCCCTGGTAAACTGAGGATAGATTAGTTGATGGTTGGGAAGGGGAGCCTCCTTGGCTGGACTGGGCTTCTTTGGGGGAGCTGCTTTTAGCAGAGGGAACAGTGGGGACCTCTTCCAGGGCTGGGCAGGTCTGGCCCCAGATCCTCTAGTCGAGAACCAACTGTGTGCCCTGGGCAGGTCTGCAGTAGCTGTGGTCCACAAACTAAGGCTGGGTTAGAATTAGATCTCCATTCAGTGGAGCGAATGTTGAATACCTACTGTGTGCTCAGCTGTGGCTCCAACCTGCCTTCAGCCAGTGTAGAATTTAGTGAGGACACTGAACAGTCTGTGTTACTGTCCCTTCCTGGAGGGAGGAAATGGCAAACCTGGGCCTTCTCTGGAGGTGTGTCGGAGGAGGAGCCATGCTTTTTCAAACAAACTCTGAAATATGAGCAGCCGTTAGCCAGGCAGAGGGCAAAGGCTTGGAGGCAGGTAAACAGTCACTATTTTTTGTTTTGTTTTTGAGACAGGGTTTCTCTGTGTAGCCCTGACTGTCCTGGAACTCACTCTGTAGACCAGGCTGGCCTCAAACTCAGAGATCCGCCTGCCTCTGTCTCCTGAGTGCTGGGATTAAAGGAATGTGCCACCACTGCCCTGTGTAAGCAGCCACATTTGCTGTGCAAAAGAACTTGATTTTCTTTTTAAAAAAAGATTTAGTTTAAAAATTTTAATTTTTTTGCATAAATATGCATGTGGCATTTGTGTGTATATACGTACACATGTTCGCATGTATGTGTAGGTGCACGTGTATGGGTATGCATGCTCAATGAACCTGGAACTTTCTCATCCTGATAGTCTAGTTTGCTAGTCTGTTCCCAATAGCCCCTGTTTCTGCATTCAGAGCCCTGAAGTTATAGATTGGTCACTATGCATGCCAGGTTTTTATGTGGGTGCTGGGGCGCCAAACTCAGGTTCTCATAATTGAACAGAAAATGATTGCCCATGGAGCCTTCTCCCTGATTTTTTTTTAAAATAGAGGTTAAATTCACATAAAATGAAAGAAGCCATCCAGGCACACAGATCCACAGTGTTTTCCATAAACACACTCTTGTGCGACTCTGCCCTGTCCAGCCTTATTACCTGTTTTTACAGGTATCTGAGGCTTCCTGGTCTAAACTCCACGAGCCACATTCCTCGCAGGGAACGTGCTCTGTGTGCATCATGACAGCGCACAGAATGCTCACCAGCGGTGCTGTACGTGCACAGACTCACTTGGAGGTAGACACGAGATACCTGTTGCACAGATGGGGACACTAAGCAAAAAAAGGATGTGGTAGGGCCCAGCATCACATGACAGGATTGGCCATGCAGGCTAATGTCTCAGGTCCCCCGTCTAACAAAGACGTTTCTGCAGACCAACTGGGCCACTGGTAAAGACTCCAGATCCACAACTCGGCTCTCAGGGCATCCCCGAGCCCAGGCCTCTTGAGAGCAGACAGCCCAGGCTGGTCTGACGAAGGCTCCAGGCTCCAGTGACCTGGGGTCATGATACCCTAAAGGTGACATCTTTCAGGGTGGCAGCTGGTGGTGGGAGTTTGGGGGCAGAAGGGCAGACGGGTGGAGCAAGGAAATTAGACTCCGAGGCACAGAGTGGAGGCCCCACTGCTGGCGGCTCCCCAGGCGGGCACTGGCCCTGCTGACAAGTGGACTACAGCTTCTCTCATTAACTTGTGGAGTGGTGTGCAATCATAAAACGCTCCTTAAAGCTGGGACGGGGCTGCTTTCTCAGGCCCTAATCAGGATCATTAACTGTGCATGGAAAGGTTTTATAAACATTTGTTAAACTCCCGGGTTCACTGTGCCCGTGTCTTGGCTAGCAGGGGCCAGCTGTGAAGATACACATCCAAGACCCAGGATTCCCATTGGTTTTCTTCAGAGGCTTTCTCCGTGCCAAGGCTGTGAAGTGATAGCAGTTGTGGGTCAAGGAGCCCTTCTGTGTTCTGGATAGGATGCTCCGGGTCTGCAAAATTAATGGGTAAGACGGGAGGGAAAAAGAGCTGAGCCAATTGCTTCCTAAATCTGGATTTTTTTTGAGCCTTTTATTGTCTGAGCCTCAGGCCCCTCCCCATACAACAGAGATGATATTTACTCCCGATATGTCTCAGAGGCCTTTGTGTGTGTGGGGTGGCAGTAACGGGATCCTAGGTTTCCCTCCCCTCCCCTCCTTTCCTCTCAGCTCTCTTTGCTTTCAATGCAGAAGCTGAGCATCATTCATTCGCCATCCCCGTTTCCCACCCCACTCTGTGTTGTCATCCCCCTTACCTCTGCTTCCCACCGTGCTCTAACCTCCTAACCTCTAGGCAATGAAAGGCGTGATTCTGAAGCACTGAGTGGGGAGGGGTAGGAGGGAGGGTCCCACAAGAGGTTGGAACCAGGTGACAATGAATGCAGGACCCTCTGAACCAGGGCAGGTCCAGAGGAGAAGCAACAATCCCCCGCCCCCCAACCCCCTTTAGGGGCATGCTGACCTGAAGGGCTTTGCAGACTTACTCGTGGCCTTGGGGGACAGTATGCAGAGGAGAGGCCAAGGGCTGGCAGGACTCTTTTCCCCTTCAGGAGGTTTCCACAGCCCCTGGCAGGTTCTTTCCTAAACTCTTCCCTGATTTGGAGAATCTTTTTCTGGCCCCCATCCTCATTCCCCACAGAGGACTGGGCCGTAAACCAGATGTATCTCATTCAAAGGCATTTCCTTTCCCACTCTGGCCCAGTGGCTTCAGATGTTCAGTGCCCACTTCCCATTCCTGAGGATGTCCAGTGAGGAAACCACAGCAACACTGTCTATTTAACCCAACACAAGTGTGCAGACAGACCATCTCAACCCAAGCCAGAGTTTCCAATGCCCTGGCCAGGGAAGAAGGGTGTGGCCAGGATGGAATGTGTGTGTGTGTGTGTGTGTGTGTGTGTGTGTGTGTGTGTGTGTGTGTGTGTGTGTGTGGAGTGAGTGTTGAGACCCTTTCCTAAGCTAGGAATACTTGTAGGGGAAAACATTGTAGGAATGGCCCTGCTTCGGTTCACATGATATGGGACTGTAGCCATGTGTGTCTGTGCACATGTGTACATAAAACACACACACACACACACAAACACACACACAGAGGCATCTACACACACATGCACACTTGATGACTCTTAAAACCTGGGAAGTCAAGGAACAGTTTAGATTCAATAAACAATTAGATTCAAGAAACACTTGGATTCAATGACCAACTTCCCCTTACAATCTCTTCAAGGTACAATCTCTGTTCCTATTTGATACGCAAGGAGTAAAGGCCTCTGTTAAAAGCCTTGCCCAGTACCTCAACTACAGCCCTCCCTCCAGTTCCCTCTGTCAAGAACTAGGGATCCTCCAGCTCTGGAAGCTGAGAGGACCCCCCCTCCTTCCCCTGCCCCGCCCTCACCCCCCACCCCTCCCTCCACCCTACAAAAGCCTCAGGTCAAAGGCTGCTCACCTGCGATGAGATGAGGTCCAGACTCAAATGGGAACTGCTCCTCTCTGCTCACACTTTGAAGATGCCTCCCATAGTAGCATCTGTCACCACGTCTTCCAGGGCCTGGGTGGCGCTGCCATGCCTGCCACTTGCTTACCACATACAGGGGTAGGCTTTGTTGCCTGGGACATTCTGGCTCAGCCTTGGAAAGTGTCCTGTAGGATCTAATGCATAGGCATGTGACAGACGGAGTCTGGTCACCCGGGAATGGGAGAGGTACACTGGGAGGTGGGGAATCTGCCACAACTAGACAGTAAGCCTCAGTAAGAAGCCCATCCCAGCACACTTCAGAGTTCCAGCTGTCCATCAGTGCCACCCACTTGCTGTCCTTGACACGGGGTCCAGGATCGTGTAAGCAAGCATGTAATCAAGGCTCCTGGTGACAACGATATCAGCTTGGATTGAGGGCCTTTATTGGGCCTTGTTCTGTCTCAGTGAGCTCTGGGAATTTGGGGGGGGGGTGGCCAAACGACATGAAGTCACAAAGAGTGGGACCGTAACCCCCCTGGGGACCTCACAGCCAGGTTCATGGCACAGGTAGAGAAAGAGCCAAGGCCACACAACAGGGACAGGGCTGGCCGTGCTCACAGAGTAGATGGGGTACGGTTAGAACTTAGTGGCTATTCCCAAACGGTAGCTGGAAATAGCTGGAAACATTACAGTGAGCTTGCTGAGGCGGGGGCGCCAGGAAAGGAGTGGGGTTCAAGCTGGACAAACACACACACACACACACACACACACACACACACACACACACGCGCGCACACACACAGTGCTTTTAGCATTGGGTCTCCAAACTGTGGCAGCACGAGTCATTAGATTTACCTCCTGTTTCCTTCTCCCAGCCTGACATGTTCTACCTCAAGCATCTCTTGTGCAGCTGGAAGGAGGGGCAGGAAAGGATTATAAGATTCTGCTTTAAAAGAAAAAAACAAAAACAAAAACTCCCTCCCTGCTCTTAGTTCCCCTTAAGGGAAAAATATGGAAAGGAGTTTTTTTGGTTTTTGTTTTTTCCTTTTTAACCTTGCTGTGGCTTTGGCTGTTAGTCTAGCTCCTCATGGGCACTGTGGATTTATAGTGTGGCCTCTCTTGAAGTAGCTTTTAGGGAGCAAGATGGCGGGATTTTATTCTTCCTAATTTAAAGCAATAATAATTGTTCACGCATTAGGAAGCATTCCTATTAAATCAATCCAGTTTTCAGAACAACTGGGAGAGAATGAAGCCAAATTTCCAGACTGGATTCTGGAGAGTTGTTTCTTCCTTCAGCCTCTGAGCAGAATGAAGCCAGCTCCATGCTAGGCATGCATGTGGTGGTAAGGGTGGTGTCCAGGAATGACTTGAGTGAAAGTAGCTGTGGTGTTGTCGTAAGGAGCGGGGGACAAGGTGTGTTCCTTCCTGAGATGAAGTTGTGGTTCCAAATCTACAAAGTCCACTGCGGATGGGTACCTGCTGGTCTTTTGCTGATATCAGGAATCCTAGGGGGATGCGTGAGCTCTGGGAGAGAGAAGTAGCTTGGGTACATCTGCCTCGCAAGCCTGGTGTACGTAGGTGTAAGTCCAGTGTAGGATAGTGTCTTAGTCAGGGTTTTTATTGTTGTGAAGAAACACCATGACCACGGCAACTTTTATAAAGGGAAACATTTAATTGGGAGTGGCTTTACAGTTCAGGGATTTGGTCCATTATCATGATGGCGGGACATGGCATTATGCAGGCAGACATAGTGCTGGAGAAGGAGCTGAGAGTCCTACATCCTGATTTGCAGACGACAGGAAGTGAACTGTCTACCACAATGAGTGTAGCTTGAGCAAAGAAGACCTAAAGCCCACCCGTGTGGTGACACACTTCCCCCCCAACAAGGCCGCATCTACTCCAACAAAGTCACATGCCCTAACAGTGCCACTCCCTTTGGGGTCCATTTTCTTTTAAGCCACCACAGGTGGGAACTAGCATAAGGTAAACTGAGGTCCAGGCTGGTGGTTGGTGGCTGGTGGTTGGTGGCTGGTGAGGAGTTTGGTTACTCAGGGGAATTCAGGGATGTAAGACTGGGATCTCAGGCCGGGACCAAACTGAAAGAAAAAAAAAAAAAAAAGAAAACAAGGTCTTCAGTTAGAGAACAGACTCATGGCCCAGGCAGGGAAAAGTGAGAGCAACCAGAGAGGATGGAGCCAGCATCAGGGAGGCCCTGCTTGAATCTCTGAGAACTGTCCCCAGTTGAAGCTCCTTGTGCGCACAATGGGCCTGATCAGTTGAACAGGGAAGGAAAGAAGCAATAGATAGGTTAACCTGCCTGCCATTCTCAGAGCTGCTCAGTGTCAGTGGTGACTTTGGGACTCCCTGAGGCCACCTGGGGACTTGGAACTTGGAGTTTGGCAATAACATGAGAAATGCTCACCCTGTTTGTCAGTGATGGCCCTTGAACCTGCGGCTGGTGTGAGCAAAAATAATACCGCTTTCTATCACAATGACCCATTTGGTATAGAAATTGTATCATCTACACTGCTATATCCTTTGGTCTGGACCACTGCAAGGCTGGGCATCCAAAAAAAAAAAAAAGCGGCCATTAGCTCTAATTGGCTTGCTGATCCTTAGGTGTTACAAAAGATCATCATCCATCTTCCCGATGAGGACAGAGCGTGTCCTCTAGAACCAATGTGATACAGATGTGGGGAGAGAGATCTTTGTGGGTGAACCCTTAAGGGGTCTACAGGAGGCCTTGGTCTTGTTCAGTGTCTGTCTGTCTCTTCCTCTCTCTTCTCAAGCTCTCGCCATCTCCGTGTGTGCCTGTCTTTCTTGCTCTCCTCTCACTTCCTGTTACTGTCACTCTTGGACTCCACCTCTCTCCTGTCATTTCCTCACTGTCTGTCCCTCTATCTCTGTATGCTTCCACGCTGCAGAGGTCACTCCCCTATCCTACCCAATTCAGGAGGGCCTGAGGCGACAGCTCTGGGACAGGGAGCGCAATGTCTTTGAGCCTTTCTGTCTCCTTCTTTCGCTTGAGATTCTTTTGGTTCCTAGGGAAGTCAGTGGAGGCTTTTTGGTAGTGAGGAAGGAAGGTGTCTCAGGGGGACCCACGCTCTGTGAGAGCATGTCTTTTTTGGGTCTCAAAGAAGGTCTGAGGTGAAGCCTCCATGCAGGCAGTTGTGGATGTGGGAGGGCGGAGCCGGGGGAGTCATGCCTGCTCTGGGGACTGCACGGGGATTCCCACAGTGACTCAGGAGAGTGCGAGTCCCTAGACCATTCACTGTGTTTAGGAAGCAGGGGATGGTTGGTTTAGAGAAGGTTTAGAGGCCCTCTCTGCTGTGGGAGAGAAGACGTGTTCTCTTCTAGAATTAATTAATACCCAATGAACCAAGTGGCATGGGAAGATGGTGATCTCCCCATCCGGGGAGGAACGAGAGCAGAAACGGCCTTCTTGCTGAGGTTGCTGTAGAGGCAACGAAGCACATTCTAGGGGTGGGGCCGTTGACTTCCAAGGTCCCTCCTAGGTCTGGGCTTGCAGGATTGACCCCCACTCCTGCCCCTCTTCATCTGTCTTCTGCTTTGGCAGCAAGCTCCCTTCTACATGAGTCAAAAGACCCGCCTGCTATGACTTCCTCCTTGGGTGGGGCTCCAAGGAGCCACCAAGGCCTCCTATTCCCTCAGCGGCACACGGTCACTACATTGGCAGTCTCTGGGCTGCTCCTTGCAGCCTCTGCCCTCTGGGAGCCAAGAACTGAATAAATTGGTTAAACAAGGAAAAGGCAACACACACACACACACACACACACACACACACAGAGAGAGAGAGAGAGAGAGAGAGAGAGAGAGAGAGAGAGAGAGAGAGAGAGAGAGAGAGAGAGAGAGAGAGAGAGAGAGTTAAGCCTGGAACGACAAACACCCTCATGCTCAGGCCTTTTATCACAAGCCCATGGAGATGAAATTCTGACCTAATAATCAAAACAAGCTGTAATTGCAAACAGACCCTCTGAAGGCTGCAGAGGCAGCCTGGCCTGCGGGCCCGGGGAGAGAAGTACCTGCTGAGCGCAGCAGGCTGGTCCTCCTCCTCAGGCTGGTCCTCCTCCTCAGGCTGGTCCTCCTCCTCAGGCTGGTCCTCCTCCTCTTCCCCCATGGATCAATGTGGCTGTCCAGCCACCCACCATGCACCATTTTGCTGGCCTGGCTGGCTGGAGCCCTGCTCACATTCTGTCCCTGTGGGACCCCAGGGCTCCCTGTGCAGAGAAATCAGCTTGGAGGAAGCCAGCCTCAGTGAAAAGATGATTGACTTGCCCAGCAGCACCCCAAGAGGCCATGAGGGTGTAGAGCGGGTGTTACTCCCATCAAGCCTGCCTTGGACTCCACCTCCTCTTGGCTCTGCGAAGAGGTTCTCCTGGGTGCAACCCCAAATCTGGAAGACCTTCCTGTCTCTTCACAGCCCCCACCACCTCCTTTTTGCTGTGTGTGTGTGTTTTGTTTCAGGCACACCCTCAGCTCAGATTTGCTTTGAAGGTCAGTAATTTCCATTCTTGCTTTTCAAAAACAATTGCACAGTTCTTCAGGGACCCGAATGTTGATTCTCTTCAGTAAGGAATGATTCTTCCCCAGCAACAAATACATTCCAGAATTATCCATCCAGCACAATCCAATGGGCCAGACATCCAGAAGAGGCCAAGGACATGTCATCCTGGTCGAAGTTTCCACAGTACTGCCTCTAGGGGAAGCTCAGCCGATGTGTGCCACATAGTAGGTCAGGGTCTTCCCATAGTTCCTGAGTGGGAATATGAAAGGATCCCGAAGTTGGTGACATTAGGTGCTGGGCCAGTTTGGAGACCAGTGCTACTTCCTGTGTCTTCTTATTCTAAGTTGTTTTAGGTTGCTAGGCCAGCTGTCCTCACTCACAGAGCATGAGGAATCAGAGTGCAGTATCAAAAGGGACCAATGCCATTTGAGCCCACCCAGGCCCTGCTTTGTAGAGTTTGGGCTGGTATAGAGCACACAAGTTGTGGCTTCTCAATGGATCTTTTTTTTCCCCTGAAATCCTGGCTGAATCCAGCTTGCATGGTCCCTTCTAGATCAGGCAGGGCAGGGATGCTTCAGGAACCTCAGCCCTACAAGCACATGTTTCAAAGTTCTTGATCAGTCATTGGCTAGGGTGAGCTCCCTTGATTCAATCCACATGGTGGAGAGATCTTGTCTGAATTTCCTTTCGTATCACTTCAGGTCCTGCTGAAACCAGAAACTGGCTCTCAGCTCTAACCCGCCTTGCTGAGCTGTGGCACCCTCCCCATCTTATTTCAGACATACCTTGGAGGTGGCACCTGTCCCTCAACTCCCATGGTGCAGGATCATTACCTGACAGGGGCCTGGAGTCACCGGCGGCCACCTCATCATCTTAGAGATGGGAAGAAACCCTGACTATAACCAACCTGGCATATACTTTTTAGCCTTGCATTGTCTATAGGGTAAAATCCACTTCTGGACTTGAAAACCTACCAAAACCCACCAGTCCCTGAGCCTGAAAAATTTAACCAATCCCTGAGCACGAAATCCCTCCTATCTTTGAGTTTGAAATCCCACCAGTCTCTGAGCTGGGCTTGAAATCTCATCAGCTCCCCGCCCCACACCCTGGAAATCTCCACTCTGGAAAGCTCGGCTCCCCCGAACTCTGTATAAAGCCTGCCTCCTGCTCTGTTTATTGCTACTTCTTACCCAGGCAGAGGTAACCACCCTCTTGTGTCCCTCTGAATAAATCTCTTGTGTGAGGTTTGTTGTGTGGTGTGACTTTGTTTTGCTTCTTGGCTCCTGACTTCCAGGATACCTTTCCCTCCAGAGCTGTACACTTGCATAGGGGAAACCTCCCTCAGAGGGGCAACACTTCCACTGGGGGAAGCCTTGCCCCTCAGAGCGTTAACACTTACACTGTCTCCTAGAACATACTGTTCACCAGCCTCCAAGCTTCTGTACTGTCCAGAGGAGTGGCCCCATATCTTGGAGTTCTTCACCAGGAAAGCTGGTAGGTTTTGGGCTGGGAGGCAAGGATCTATCTCTTGTGTGGCTCACCTCTGACCTGTTCTGTGGCTTCAGGCGAATGACTAGCCCTCTCCTAGGGATGACTGCAATATTGACCCCAGGTGTTCTGGCCCCACTAGAAGAAATGATTGACACTGGTAACTTGAGAGCACGGGCTACAAAACTGGAACATTTTGGTCTAGATGTTTTGATTACTTGCTAATTTCCTCTCAGTGTTTGGTTTCTACTAATTCCTTTTATCCACAAAGGATAATTAATCATGAAGCCATTTGTGACACCCCCACCATGTTCTACAAATATCCCTAAAGGAAGAATTTAAAGGAGAGGGGACCGAGGGTCAGAGAGATAAAGGAGACCCTGCCCTGCAGTGTCATTTACAACCCCCCATCTCAGATAAGCATTTTGTTAGACTTTCATCCTTCCCTATAGTTATCAGTCTAGCATAACTCCAAAGATGCTTCAACCCCAGACTGTCCACCTTCAAAGTGAACGCTTCTTCTGCTGTCTTGCTTTTGCTGAATCTGTGACGACAAGCTTTTCTTGAGACAAGCCAAGGGCCTGGAAGGGCTGCTTCCAGGTACTCTCTCTCTCTGAAGACACAGTGGAGGACCACGTCTGTAAATTGTCTCCAGGATCCTGGATATAAGTCTCTGTGAGGATCTGATGCCCTCTCCCCAGCCCCTCCTCCCCCAGTCCCCAATCCCATGACTCTGTGCTGCCCAGAGCCTGTGGAGTTTGGTTGGTCCTGGGCTGGGGTTCTGATGCTCCTCAGCACGCCCTACTGCTTTGTGGTGTGACACCATTCCTGGGGAGATGTGAACAAATGTCTACTCCCTCCAAGTAGGGAGCCGCCAAATTCCAGCTCGGTGAACCAATGAGTTTATACTGGTGAGGGGCTACTCTCAGGAGTAGAGATGATTTAAAGACAGCTGCATCCTCAAAGCCCATCCCAGCACAGGGGACAGCTCACAAAAGCTGGAAACCTGGAGCACAGCAGACAACCTGCAGGCAGCTCAACGGGTCCAACCGTGGTGGCTCAATTGGTTCTGAGCCTCTTCTACGTAGCTTGGCTTGCCTTTGTTTCTTCTAAGCAGTTTGACTGGGTCTGAGCCTCTTCTAAGAGGTGTCATTTGTTTTGGCAGTCCTTACTGTTTATGTGCTTTCAGGGAAGGAGAATCCAAATGAATCTGGTCAGTTTCAGGGACTTCCTGAAGCCATTTCCAGTAGTTTACTTCCTGTCTTAAGGAACTTTCCTGAAGGATGGACTATTTCATCCTCTCCCCACCAACATCCTGTTTTCTCGCCCTGCATATATCCTATATCCTATTCTAATTATTCTATTGTTTCACTTCCCTTTATGGTAGAAGGTTTGAACCTCAGAGGAAACTGTCACACAACATCCATCTGTGTGATGCCAAGTGACCAGATCAGACCAAACTGAGCCAACAAGCTCAGGTTTATTGGTGCAGCTGTTGGCCGAGGTTCGGGATCCCAGGTTACAGAGTCAGAGAAGTCATGAGTGGGACCCAAGATAGATTTTTTTAAACATTGGTTTAGATTTATTTATTTCGCATACAGTGTCTGTCTGAATGCCCGCAGCCAGAAGAGGATGTCAGATCTCATTACAGATGGTTGTGAGCCACCATGTGGGTGCTGGGAATTGAACTCGGGTCCTCTGGAAAAACAGCCAATGCTCTTAACCTCTGAGCCATCTCTCCAGCCCCGATAGACAATTTTATAGTCCCTGTCAAGGGGAAGGGTGATGTATCAGACAAGAGCTGTTTTTTTTAAAAATATATATGAGTCCCATAACGAGTGACGTAGTGATGACGTCACTGTGCGTGCCCCGCCCGTCGTCGGGGGTGGGGTGGGGTCAGTATGATGCCGGAGTTCCAAGACGTGGTCATACTGTATCCATGCATGTTAATGGAACAATGGTGGTTGGTGTGGTGAGCCACGGTGAACGCAAGAAGCTTGATGGGGGTTGGGTAGGACAACAAGAGTGTGAGCCGAGCCACGGTGGGCAGGGCCTTGGTCTTGCTCGTGAAACTGCAGAAGGGAAGGCCTGGTAGAGGGCACATCACACCTTGTTATGGGATACTGCATTGTTGTGATGAAGCACACAGTTCACCCCTCGGACCATCATGGTGGGGAAGCACGGGGAAGCAGCTGGTCACGTGACACCCACAGCCAGAGGAACCGGGGAACCGGGAGCGCTGCTGCCTGCTTACCTGGGTAGGGAACTCAACACACGTCCTCCTTTCTTTGAAAATAGTTTCGCTTTGTTCCTGAACAAATTTCATACATTTATGTAATATAGCTTGATTGTATCCAACCCAAGCCCTACCCACTCTCCTGTGTCTCTCAATGCTCCCACATCCCACAGCTCCTCCTCTTCCTTCTTCTTCCCTGTTCCTTTCAATTCACTGAGTCCAAATAGAGCCGCTTCCCCGTGCCTGGGCCACCCACCAGGCAGCTTTACCATTAAAAGTGATCCCACCTTCTCAGCAGCAACCAATGGGCAACTCTCAAGCCAGTAATAGGGACTCACGGAGTCTCTCTCCCATCTATGCTGGAAGCTTGCCTGGCTTGTACTGGTGACTGTAGCTGCTGGGAGTTCATAAGCTCAACGACTATGCTATGTCCAGACGACCTATGTCCAGATGGCTCCTCTCCATCTGCCAGCTCTTACCCTCTGTGGGAAGTCCCCTCTGATCTCCAGGGTGGGGGTTCCGTAGCCTCCTCAAGGTACCCTTGGGTCCGTTCTCCCTACCTCCGCCCATATGGCTCAGCTGAGGGCCTGTCCTCCCCCACACCTTGGCTGTGGCGGCAGCCAGACCAGTATTCCAGGTCTGAGTGACATTCCTGGAGGTACCACAGAGGAGCCTGCCTGCAGATGCTTTTACCAGTTCTGGGCTGGCCAGTGACTTTCAGGCCCTGTGCTCAAGGCTAGCTACCAGGGGCATGGTTTTTTGTTTGTTTGTTTGTTTGTTTGTTTTACTGATGGCTTGCCTGTGAAAGAGCATGTATAGAAGAATCCTGGCATATGAAAAAGGATTTGGCTAGGTTCTTGGGAATGGAAAAATGTTTCACAGAGTGACAAGCACCTCAGAAAACAGGCTGGGAGCCAAGATGCAGGTGAGATCCTTGGTGAAGGATGGGCCAGTGGAGAACCTATAGGCAACTGCACTAGGAGATTTTACGATTGAACTTGACAGAGGTCATTGAGGGCTTTTCAGAAAGGGAATGATGCTGTTTTACTTATTTCTTAGATCAGTTTCCACAGAGGCTTGATAGAAGACATTCAGCTTAAGGGAAGAATGAGAGAGACCAGAGAATCTTTGCGCCGTGTGTGTGTGTGTGTGTGTGTGTGTGTGTGTGTGTGGTCTCCTCTACTCCATAGCCTCTACACACACACACACACACACACACACACACACACACACACACACGCAGACCTGAGAAGATGGCTGCATCAGGAAAGCCCTTGTGCCAGCATAAGGATATGAGTTCAGATTCCCAGAACCCATATAGAGCTGAGGAGGCAGAGATTGGAGCTTCCCTAGGTCTCATTGACCACCCAGTCTAGCCTGATTGGTGAACTATGGGCCAATGAAAAACCCTGACTCCTAAGGAGCAGCCCCTTGGTTGATGTCTGCTTCCATACTCACATGCACACACCACACACATGTGTGCACCATATGAACACATACAGATGAAATTTTAAAAACAATGTATTTAGTGAAGCCTGGAATAGCAATGAGGCCAGCCAGCCAGCAAACAAAACAAGCGTAAAAACTAACCAACCAACCAAAAGACAGAAACAAAACCCCTAATAATCCACCATACCGTAGCACTGGGGAGAACAATGGATTTCCCCCCCAATTATTCTGTTACTTATCCAGAATCAAAGAGACTGTTTTCCCAGAATACCCTTCCTGTGTGATTCTAGTAATAAACACCCTTGAGCATTTTACTTGACATTTCTTTTGGCTATAACAAAAATAACCTGCTTTTCCTACAATCTGCCTATGTGACCACCAGCAGATAATAATTCCCCCAAAGAGTTGATCTCCTGGCCTCATTTATTAAGTGGCACATCAGATTTCCTGGATGAATGAGGCGCACGTTTTCAGCCAGACAAAGCCACATCCCATATTTGGCACGCCACAATACTCACACGTTGAATGCAGCTCAGGGGCGCTGAAGCTTCCCAGGCATATTTATATGTACTGTGGGTGCCATGTTTTTTTTTCAGACTACTTATGACCTTTGAAATGTTGGGGAGGGGGGATGCTAGATTTGATATGTCTATTGTTTGTGGTTGGTTGGCGTGTGATGTGAGGATTACCAGCGAGCTGAGGACTTTGCAGACAGACAGACAGACAGACAGACAGACAGACACAACATGCTCACAAGCACACATATGCCAGGGTATACACGCCATTGCCTGGCCCTACGCCTCAGATTGACGCTTGAACCTACGGGATATTACTGCTGAAGAAATTCTAACGTCATCTAGGGTACGTCCCTCACATTTGTGATAAAGTGACTCACTACAGCCCCCAGGGGGAAGGCACAGTCCTACAGTTACTCAGTAAATGGGAGGATACAGGTGGATTTGAACTCACCAGTGGCTAAACCCTTGGAATTCTGTATAGTGGACGCTTCCTGCTAGGCTACGCCTTTAAGGAGGGCTGGTTAGTGTGATAGAGCAGAAATCAACTAAGAG